CTACAAATTATAAAAGATTGTTTTTGTTGTTGATATTTTAGCAGATTACTTAATTTCAATGAAATCAAAATGTTTTGCTCAAAATTTGAGTTTGGTTATAATTATTCCAATGAAGAAGTAATTCTGATTCTTTTCATTATTAGTTAACTATATTAATATCAAATCAAACAACAATAGTAATGATTGGTGAGTTACTGAGTTTACGTAGTTATTGCTTACTACTGAATTCCGTGTTTTTTTCCCACCTAAATAATAATTTGTTCTTTTACTCGATTATTTAGATGATTATCAGGAATGCAGGATGCGGCATCAGAAATGCCGTAATGCAGTATGTAGTTTATTATATTACAGAAAAATACCGTTCCGTTTGTATTTAAAATCAGAATATGCCTCTAATACCTTAATTCATTCATAAGTATCGCAAATTAAATATTTTGTACTATGATACCGTTTTGTTTGTATTCAGAAATAGAATGTGTTTCGAATAATTCGATTCATGCAATGATGAATTTGCGATACGATTGTACGCAGATCATGATCTTACGATATCCACGAATAAGTCAATGTATTTGGAACAAATTCTATTCCTGGATACAAACAGAACGTAATATAAATCCAAAATCATGATGTATTGATTCTTACGCATAAATTGAGGTATTTGAAACTCATTTCATGAGTAAATACAAACAGTATGGTAATATTATGCAAAATCATGATCTTGCGATACTTGCGCATAAGTTAATTTATTCGAAACGCATTCTGTTTCTCAGTGCTAGCAGAACGGTATTTTTAAGCAAAATGATGAATTAGTGATACTTACGCATGAATTATTGTATTCGAGACCCATTGAAAGTTAATACGAGCATCATGTTTTTTTTCGCAAAGTCATAAGTTTGCGATACCTATGCATGAATAAATGTATTCGAAACACATCTACTTCGGAATGGAAACAGAATGCTATTTTTCATGCGACTGGATCAATTTGCAATACAGTCGCATAAATTGTGTATTCGAAACACATTGTATTTCTGAATACAAACAGAACACTTACGCTGATATCGTAATTACATCAATGAGCGTAAGTGTCGCAAATTCATCATTTCGCATATAATGATATCGCAGATTCTATTAATTTGAGTATTCGAAACACATTCTGGTTCTGAATATAAACAGTACGGTACTTATATGGAATTAATGAACTTGCGATACTTACGCATGAATTAATGTAATCGAAATGCATTCTGGGTTTTGAATACAAACAAACGCAAATTTATCATTTTGCAGTACATTCGCATGAATTGAATATTCCAAACACTTTATTTCTGAATGTAAACAGAACAGTGGTTATTTTTATATGTATGAGTTCATTGTAAGACATTTGAAAAATATATTTTTTTTATATATATGCTCTCATCATGAGTCTTAACATATTCTGTATTTCCGTGTACTGAATGATATTTGTGATATTGCTGCGTTGCATGCGATATTATTGTGTTCGTAATCGAGATCATTAATGGATTGCGAATAACTACAATCACCTAATATGTAAGCAACATTGGAAATAACGATGTGAGAGCTAGAATAACTAGAATCACGTAATTGAATTGTCAAAACAACGCTAGATAAAAACAGCATAGTTTAACTGCATTTACAAACACCGCACCGTACCAAATTACTTCTTTCACCGCACCGTTTTAAATTACTTCGAGGATCAAGCACTGCTTTTCAAAGTGATTTTCTTATCAAAAAGTTTGTTTTCATCTCTGTTATTTCACAGATTATCGACAGAAATTGCGAATATAAATATCAAAGTTCAAGCCAACCAAACTTCTTTGAAAACGTTCGAAAATTATGCAAATCGAAGAAAATTTACTTACAATACATATGTGTTTATCTCGAAAAAATATCCTTTTCCAAAAAGAAAGACGTAGTCTAAGCTCTGCAGTTTGGTCGGTATACGCCTATATTCCCACTTCAATCATTGAGGAAGCAAAAAGGATGCTATGAAACTATGATCACAATTCACATAGAAAATATTACGAAACATTTTAGTGCTATCTGATACATTGCAGCACATCTGTCTTATTTTTAAATATGTAAAGCACATTGTGACCAAACAACATTTTAGACGTGAATCATATCAGCTGTACTATGGATTCGCTTGTTCACATGCATCAATCCAGTCAGAATAAACGTCAATTGGTTCAGATAGGTAATTGATGACCGTTTGAAAATCCTCGAAACATACTCGACAAGCGATAAAACCAACGTTTTGTTCACGATCCCTAAAATAAAATAAATAAACTTCACAAGAGTATTCGTATGAATCACGTTCGTTTTTATGAAAGTCCTTTGGGTTTCTCAGTAGCGAGAGTAGCAAAAAAGTTGAAATGTATCAAAAACCGCTGATCATGCTTCGCTTTATACTGCATTAGATTTTTATTCTCTTCGATTACTTTAATCACATGATTTTGAAAAAATGTTTTCAACTCTAGATCACTACAAATCAGATCCTGACTACAAATCAGTTCCTTAATATATGGCTAAGGTGACTCGAAAAAGTATTCCTATCACTAATAACAGTGATTCTGGCTATTACATGAAAAGATTAAGGACTATTCAATGATAATTTTGATGAAGCTTCAAACACAAAGCTACTAGACACAACCACTACAGTTAGCATAAAAATTAAGCAACTTATTGAGCACAAAACTCTAAAATAAGTTTCATGCGCTATATATCTGTACTTTCAAATTCATTTACATTTATTTCCACGTTTATCTTACTGAAATATGAAACAATTTTTAATTGGTTTGTTCTTACAATAGTCACTATTTGGAAAGAACATTAAATTTACTTCTATCTTTGTATTTCTGTTGTTTGAAATTTGCACAAATTTCCTTCACGAGATTAACTTCAACAGGAATCTCAACTTTTGGATTGAAAACCACTATTACGTCAATCTTAATTTTCAAATGATTGTAAAATAGAGAACAAGCTATAGAAAAGCAGGAAATCAGAAACGTAAAAACGCACATCTTCACCTCACACACTTTTTCATGATTGCAAAAAGGACAATTGAACTGCGTTTCGAGTGGTGTGATAACTCTTATTTTCGAATGAACCTTCCGTTTTGACTTACGCCTGCCCATTTTGATAATATTAATGTAATTGAACTTTGATCAGGAAAGCTGAAATAAATGAACATAAACTGAAGCTTCAATCACGAAATTAACATGGTGCGCACCAGATTGAACTCAATCGTCAGCGTTAAACATGCAAGATTTTTTTGATAAACATTAAGTACGGCAACCTACTGAGAAATAAAATGTATAGCATACAGCACCCAACAACTCGTAATAGTTCAGCAAGAGACAAACTCAAAGAGAACCATTTTCACGCAGCAATGAAATGAAATTACATCATCCTGTCAAATAAACCATACATATCTTAATAAATTCAGAAATATTTGTTTACCATATTGAAATTTTGACTATCGTTATGGTAATCGATCTTGAACCATAAGAGGGTCCAAGATTGCGTCACAATCATGCTACCATTGAACATTGTCATCTTAGAATGAACCATGAATTCTGAGCAGCAAGTTGTTTCCATGCATATTTAATCAGCGCACGCCTAAAAATCCCGCAGATTTATGCTATAAATTTTTTAAAATACGTCACGAAATATTATATTAGAGGAAGAAGGCATTGAACGGATGCTGAGGACGCTCAGTAAGAAAGAAAAATATTGGCTGATCAAAACAAAACAACAAAACACGTGCGCAAACATTGCTTATTTAAAAAAGTTTCGGGCTCGTATTTTTTGTAAATCATGTATATTTTGTTTATTATTCTGTTTGTTTGTTTTTTTCAATCATTAATATTCTTTAGAAGTTCATCAAGCTAAAATCAAGTGTTGAGAATAGTGCTTTCCAATTATATACGTTATCGGTGATTTGTTGTTATTACTGTTTATTTTGTACTAACTTCTATTCTGTTTTATAGTTAATGCTTCTAGCTATTGTGTAGAATATAAATGAATCTGCTCTAAATAGCTTCTAAGAATATGAGCTTTTTTTCGGGTAATCATCAACATCCTTAGTACACTACAAATTATAAAAGATTGTTTTTGTTGTTGATATTTTAGCAGATTA